CTGTCCTTTCTCTGCTAAATTGTCATTACTCCTTTGTAAAGAATCAGTTGACCATATTTGTGTGGGTCTATTTCTGTGCTCTTTACTCTGCTCCATTAAACTGTCTGTCTATTCCTTTGCCAATACCATACTGTCTTGATTATTGTAACCTTATAAAAGCCTTGAAACTTGATGGTGTGAGTACTCTAGGTTTATTCTTTTTCTTTAGTAATGTTTTGGCTATTCTAGGTCTTTTGCTTTTCCATATAAACTTTAGGATCAGTTTGTTTGTTCCCACAAAATAGCTTGCTGGAATTTTGACTGGGATAGCACTGAACCTACAGATGCAGTTGAGATGGATTGACATCTTTACAATATTGGATCTTCTAATCCCTAAACAGGGAATATTTTTTCAAAGGATAAAAAGGGATTAAATATACGGTGACAGAAGGTTTGACTTTGGCTGGTAGACACACAATGCAATATACAGGTGATGTATCATAGAATTGTACCCTTGAAATCTATATAAATTTATTAACCAATATCACCCCCAATAAATTTAATTAGGAAAGAAGGAAATTCTGGATTGTCTGTAGGGATCCAATGTAATTGTTAAGATCCTTTGACTCATGTATTATTTAAAAATATGCTGTTTAATTTCCATGTACTTTGGAATTTCTAGCTATCTATGTGTTATTGATTTCTAATTTAATTCCACTGTGGTCTGAGAGCAGACATTGTATGATTTATTTTCTTTTAAATTTGTTAAGGTGTGCTTTATGGCCCGGAATGTAGTTTATCTTGGTCAATGTTTTATGTGAGCTTGAGAAAAATGTGTATTCTGCTGTTGGATAAGTAGTCTATAGATGTCCATTATATCCAATTGATTGATGGTGTTGTTGAGTTTAACTATGCCCTAGTGATTTACTGCCTGCTGGATCTACTTCTGATAGAGGGGTGTTGAACTCTCCGACTATGATAGTGAGCTCGTTTATTTCTCCTTGCAGTTCTATCAATTTTTGCCTCATGTAGTTTGAGTCTCTGTTGTTAGGCCTATACCAGGTAAGGACTGTAATGTCTTTTTGTAGAATTAACCATTTTACCATTATGTAATGCCCTTCCTTAGCCTCAATAACTTCCCTTGCTTTGAAGTTTGCTCTGTCTGAAACTAAATATAACTAGATCTGCTTTTCATTAATTAATGTCAGCATAGTATATTTTTCCCCACCCATTTATTTTTAATCTATGCATGTCTTAATATTTATGTGAATTTCTTGTAGACAATATATAGTTGAGTCTTGTTCTTTGATATATTCTGACAGTTTCTGTTTTTTAATTGGTACAACTAGAAACCTCTGCCTTTAAAATTTGAACTGAAGTATACTGGAAAGAAAAAAAGAATGGTCAAATGAAAATTTTACCATGGAATTCAAGGATTCTAGGGAATTCAAGGGTTGAAATCTAGGGGTTTTGTGAATTTGCAGGGCATATATATACAAGACCTGTCAAGAAAAAGTCCAGCCACTTTTAATATAATGAGAACAGTTTGCATGACACTGATATAACCTGGCAGCCAAGGAGAGTGGACTAGAGTGCACATGCGTGAGCAATGATGACTTTGCTGTACTAGTCAGTGGGGGCAGTAGACACTGTTGAGTGAGCTTATGTACTGTGCAGCTGTCACATTCAAAATGAATGAACAAGTAGAGCAATGGATCTGCATCAAATTTTGCATTAAGCTTGAACATTCCTCTGCAGAAACTATTCGGATGATTCAGAAAGCCATAGCTATAGGCAACTGGTGATTGGCAGCTTCATCACAACAATGAGTCCACTCATGCATCACGTCTCACACAGAGGTTTTTGGTGAAACATCAAATCACCCGGGTGACTCAGCCCCACTACAACCCAGATTAGGCACCCTGTGACTTCTCGCTTTTCTGAAAACTAAAATCAACTTTAAAAGGGAAGAAATTTCAGACTGTTGATGAAATTCACAAAATATAATGGGACAACTGATGGTGATTGGGAGAACTGTGTGAAGTGCTTACTTTGAAGGGGACTGAGACATCATTTTCCTATGTACAATGTTTCTTTTATCTTATATCTTCTTCAATAAATATCTCTATTTTTCATATTACACGGCTGGATACCTTTTGGATATCTCAAATTGAAATTTACATTTCTTTCCATTATGAACATGAGGAACAAACCACACTAAAACTGGCAGTACCTGTGGCATTATGAATAGAATTCACACATATTTTCATATCACATTTACAGCTTTTGCTAATACTCACATATTATTTATCCTCAACACTTTGAAAAATACAGTAGTTAGTAGATTTACCACTTGATCTTAGTATTTTTTGTATTAATGAAGAAACATAAGCAATTATATCACAAATTTCTCTGGAATTTTTTGCTAACTATATTTAGATATAATTGGTTTTCTTTTAATTCTATTTTTATTTTTTAAAACAAAAATTATTCTGAGGAGCTATGATAGGCAGAATAATGGAACCCAAAGACCCTAATATGTCATACTTGTGAATTTGTTCTCTTAATGGCAAAGGGTTTTTGACAATATTATTAAGGTTTAAGGAACCTGAGAAAGGGAGACTATCCTAGATTATCCAGATCAGCCCAATATAATCATAAAGGTCCTTAGAAGTGGAAGGGAAAGGAAGAATATTGGGTCACAGAGATGTGACATGAGAAGTACTAGAACTACTGTTGCTGACATTGAAAAGGGAGGAAGGTGACCACGAGTCAAGGAATGTAGTAGGGGAAGACCCTCAGTTACAGACAGCAAGAAAATGGGGATCTCAGTTTTAGAACTTCAAGGAACTAAAGTCTGCCAGCAATCCAAATGAGTAGAAAACAGACTATCTTGTAGCACCTCCAGAAATGAATACAGCCTGACCACATATTCATTTGTGTCCAGTGAGAACTATACTGGACTTCTGGCCTACGAAACTGTAATAAAATGTTTTTTTAAAACTACTAAGTTCATGATATTTTGTTACAGGAGCACTGGGAGACTTTTACAGAGGAGATCCCCATGCTTTGCCAAAATACTATGGCTCTTAACCTTTTTTTGAGTTCATGACTAAAAAAAAAGTTAAGAGCCATAGTGTTGTTTAACTTAATGATACAGTCCCAAAATCTTTTGCAGGTTAAATTCATGGAATAAAATAACCAATAATCATTAAGACAGCACAATTTTTGGCATTGAAAATAATTCTCTCTGCACCAATAAAGGCAAAACAATTATACTAACCTTCTCCTCTTTCCCGTCCAACTTGGTTTCTTTGTTTTCTAACTCCAGATCCATGGTTGATTACAACTATTCATTTTTTCTCAGATGTTATGTTGTATATGTAAACTTAGGCATCTAACCAAAAATAGCTTTTAAGAAATTGATTGCCACAAGCAATCAGTTGAATATAAACTTATATTATTGAAAAATGCATATGGGTGGAAAGGCTGTGCCAGCAAAATCTAATGAGGAAATTGATGTATTAGAAATATAGAAGAGTAATGGCTTGTTCTGAGTATGCTTCTTAGGTTGGAATAAATTATGTTTTGTTATAATCTCAGTATCTCTTGGAAGAGTAAACATGAAAATGTATTTCAGGGCTAAAGCAGCATCATTGTATATTCTTTATGAGAATATATTTTTTAAAAGCTATCATCAGAGGACCATGAAACTCTTTAAACACCCAATAGAATTAGAGCAGTAGAAACTTAATTTGTAAGGCTTCTGTAATATTGCAATATTTCTACCAGATAATAGAAAGTCTATAGGCAGTTATGTGATGAGACAATACTTGGAAAACAGATCTTAGATTTTTTCTTGGAATATACTTTTTAATTAGTTTTACTACATAGCACCTTTCTTTTTAATAGTTTACCAAAATGTACTGTATCTTTTATTCATGGTTTTTTGTCCCCAGGATTGTTTAACTCAGCTTCTAAAAGAAAACAATATTGCTTTTCTAAACATTTGCTTCCAGAAGTGGCAAGTTTAGGTGAGAAAAGATGCCATGCCATTAAAAGTGACATCTTGTCATCTTTCAATCAGTTATCATTTCAAGGTAAAATTCTACTTGCTTTACATTTTCCAAATAAAGACCCTCTTCCCTAAGATATTTACTGCTTGATCTCTCTGTGGTTTGCTTTATTCTCAAATCTGAAAATCTCAAAAGTATTTGGCATATCTATAAATGTTAACTTGAGTCTCTAGCATTCCTTCATTTATTGGACCCTCCATTCATTGAACACTGTTTGCATACCTGCCTTTTGCTAGACTCAGTGCTAAATTGTGCAGATACAATGATAAATAGGACTCTGACTACGTCCTCAATCTAGCAGGAAACAACGTACAAACAGATAGTTAAAGTAAGCTATGATAGCATTGTAATAGAACCTGGAAATTTTTATTAAGGAGATATGTCCTCTCTAGCTAGTATTTAAGCCCCTAAAGTGCTTCATATTTTGTCACCCAGTATTTACTACACTGATCTGCATCCTGTTTTCAATGAAGACTTTTTAATAAAATGTGTTTTTCTTATTTTTAGCGTATTTTTCTTTATTTTACTTAGCTCTTTACTGTATACCAGGAAAGGGCATTTCTTCTTAGTCAGCCCAGTATTATTATTTTGAGTTGGTAGAGGGTGGTGATAAAAAAAAGATTCAGGCTCTGGAGTCACACTATCTGCTTTTGAATCCTGAACTAGGCTATTTTATTTTATTTTATTATTTTTTTGAAAATACAAATATGCAATTTATTTGTCTTATTTACCAAATGGTTAACTATAAAGATACATTTTTTTTTGCCTTGGAGTTTAAGGTAGTTTCATTTTTCACCAGAGTTATTTTTTCTGATCATATACTAAATCAGCATCTTCTATTTTATCTGTATTTAATTGATCATTTATGTTTTACACATTTGTGCACTTGAGAACCATATTTTCTCCAAATTCACCGAAGCTCTGTAATATAAAATGTCATTGTCTTCATGTATTTGAATAATACTCATCACAGTTTTGATAGACTTTATGAGCATAAGTCTTGTTATATAGGATCTTTCCAAAAGGTTCATGATCATTGTAACAAGATTCAAAAACTTCACCAACAGCCTTTTCAGCTATTTCTTTGCTTATATTCCTAACCAAGATAGAAAGAATGGCTCTGTCTCTCATACAAGTTCTGCAACTGTCATCTTTTGCACTTGACCAATACTAGGTAACTTTTCCTTCGAGAGAATCACTATCCCCTGATGGTGTTTTAATCCAACATGTAACCTGAATACTGAATAGTCTCTACTAAGGTTAGCAGCTCAAACTTCTTAGCAGGTCAGATGTCTGACACTGCTGAACCAGTCGACATGGACACAACAATGACCAAATGCATGAATGAGCTCGTGGATGACCACTCGGTTAATATGGCCCTGATTACGGATGTTATTCTCACACAGAACAGTCTGAGACATTGAAGCATCAGCACCTCCAGCTACATTTCCATTACAATTTTCACAAGAAAAGTGTCTTTCTTTGTCAATAATACAACCTAAGTATTTCATGGCATCAAGTAGAAGTTTGACATGTGGATTTGTCTGCAGAGTCTTCAGGAGTATAAGCTGGCATTTCAGGTTGTTGGTGAAGAAGCCAGAAATCTTCTTCTTGCTGGGGTTCCCACTGAGCCAGCCACTGAGAAGATTTGGCTCTGGAAGAGTGGCTGTTGCAGCTGCTGTCTAGCTGTGTGGCTGTGGAGAGCAGGACCAATAAAATGGCATTGGTCCAGTCAAGATGAGGACTATAAAACAAAATGGAGTCACTCATGTCAACCAAGATGGCTGTCAGTCAGCAATGATATTTTGGTTCAAGAGGGAAACTACCTAAGTCACACTAGACACCTCTGGCAAGGAGAACCACCTAAGATATCTGCATATGTGACCAGAACAGCCATATTTGTAGAGCAGGACCACCCACAGATAGGTTCCTGGGGAAATTCCCCACTTGTCATCAGGGGTGCCAAGACACTTATCAAGAGTCCCAAAAGAGTAGAGTGCACCACTTTCAAGGGTATAACTGAAGCAGGCTCCAGACCATTGCTGAGGCAGCCAAGCGCCACACACCAAGACGTTGTTCCATGCCACGTTAATTTCCCTTGGCACCAGCTGCCAGAGGCTCTGCCCTGCTGGACTGAGGCCTTTGTCTGTCCTGCTGTCCACTTGGCTTCAGAGATTCCTCCTTGAAAGATGCTGACAACTCCCTTGCCCAACATGCTGTCTCCCAGACCTGCAGACTGAGACTCTGGGACTCCGGTTTGTTGTCCCCCAATTCTCTCATGTAATATTGTTGCTGATGATTTTTGAGTGGTCAGTGTTGTTATTAGGTTAGTTTAGATTTGGATTAAGTCTGTATTAATAAAAGCTGAGTGAACTTGCATTAATAAAAGCCAGGTGAATAGCATAGTCACCTGTGTTGGCTCCTTGTTATTTCTCAGTGCCCACATCACCTGGAGAATTGATGGCTGTAGAGGCAGCTCGGCACTTTTGGTTCTTAAGGCCAGGGCCAGACATCCAAGTAGGGGCTGAAGGCTGTCGTATAGGAAAGACTATATCGTGAACATATGCTCATAAGAGGGGCCCATACCTACCCAGGGCTTCTGCCAAGCTATCACTGCTGCTTCCTTCCACCTCCTGTGGTCAGGGGTGAGACCTGGGGAGCCTCCTAACATTAGATAAGTTATGTAAATTCTCAGTGCCCACATTTTCTCATCCACAGAATAGGGATAATAATAGGACACCCCCTAAGACAATATACATAAAGTGGCTGATGTACAGTAAGTACTGCATGAACAGTACGCCAGACAACAGAACAGATGCCAACCCTTTCTTCAGTTTATAATTTAATGCTGTAGTAAAAGATTTATTGTTTTTATTTCTCTTGAACATGCCTGCTAGGGACCTCCATAGCATGGAGGCAAGGGCCCCTTAGTAAGGACCAAAGTGGAAGGTCATAGAAGAATTTCTCAGATCATCAGCACTTGAGAAAGTAGAGGTGATGTTTGAGTGGCCAGGGAGTCTGGCTTATGCTCATTCCTAAAGAATTCCTGGGCTTTGATTTTACAGGAGAATAGATGATGGAGTGTACATGTTGAAAGATCAGCAGCAGATGTTTTAAGTGGTAGTACTGAGAGTATAACCTATGGCTTTTGGAATTTAAGGCCTGTATTTTTCTTTCTAAAACAAGGATCAGGTAGGCACACAGGAAAATGAGGCACACAAGAAATGCGGTAGTCAAGTGGTCTTAGCAAGGATTAGGAGGAAGAGAGATGTACACATAGGGAATGTGGTATCATCTGTTGTCTCGGGCAGAAAAGGTAGAGAACTGGGACTGCACTTCTTAGTGGTACTGCCATATGCTTAGACATAGTCTCAGCATTGTTGGTGTGAAACAGTCTATAAGATGCTTAACTGTTGATGAAACCATGCTCAACATTTGAATTTAAACATGGATGGATCTTAAGAGTAGCATGCTAAGTGAAATAAGTCATATGGAAAAGAACAAGAACCATATGATTTAACTCATATGTGAGACATAAAGCAGAAAGCAACAAACAAATAAAACAGACTCATAGACACAGACAGCAGTATGGCGGGTTACCAGAGGGGAAGAGGGTGGGAAGAGGTCAAAAAGGGTAAAGGAGGTCAAATATATGGTGATGGAAGGAGACTGGATTTTGTGTGGTGAACACACAATGCAATATACAGATGTTGAATTATAAAATTGTATACCTGAAACTTACATATAGTTTTAACCAATGTTACCTGAATAAAATGAATTAAAAAAGAAAAAGAACTGAAAAATCAAAAAAATCATATCGTGCTGATATTTCACATTTGTTCTGAGAGAATATCAAGTAGGTTTGATTTTTCCTCTCAGTGTTGTGGTACGACACTGTCTTAAATTCAAATATGATATTAGAATTTTAAAAAAGCTTAACATTTAGTATTCATACTAATGGAGTGCTGTGGATGTGAAGGATCATGTACAGGGATGTCAAGAAAAGGCAGAATTCCGCACAACGCACTTACACTCTTTTTCACCGAAAGGCTTTTGCTGCTGTCAGGGCTCTTTCTTTCTGTCCCGCCTTCCTGCATCGGAACGGCCTTGCCTATGAAGGCTGCCGTGCGGCCCAAATTTAGGGAAAGTTAGACAGCCAGAGGCAGGGGAGTTAGTTCTGTATTTAAAGATATGATGGGACTTTAAAAAAAAAACAAAACACAACATTTTAATCACTCAGAGGGATTTGAAAATGAATTGAATGCTGGTTTGTTATTTTTCCCTTCTGGTTCTTTGTATATCTTTTTAATGAGCACAATGGCTTTAGAAATCCTTTCTCCAGTGATGTTTATTCATTTCCTATTTGGGAAGCATTCTAACAATGGTACTTGGGGCACCGCATCACAGCTCCCTACCTCTTATCCTCCCGTCCACCCCGGTGTAAACAGAAAGAAAAGAAAAAGCACCTGTGTGCCCTGCAGCTTTGTCAAGACACTTTGGCACAATTTAGTGTCTGTGTATGTTACCGAACGGTGTGCAGATGGACACAAAAGGGCATTTGTCAAATCGGGAGAGCGCTGTTCCCCCAAGCCTCTCTTTTCCAGCTCTCCACTGTGGAGTTTCCCAGAGAATGATTATGCGTGAGCAGTATGTGGATGATACGGGGGCCTGGCCAAGGGAAGAAGATTCTGGGAATAAACAGCAGCTAAGTAGCTAGCACAAGAGCCAGCTGTCTGTTTAAATAATGCTTTGTAAATGTCTACAGGTAGCCTGACTAAACTCTGGGATTTTATTTTATTTAGGGCTGCTAACTACCCCTCTGTACCACTGAGCTGTGGAGGAAAGCAGCCTTTGGGATTTTTTTTTTTAAACGGCTTCTCTTTTCTCCCCAGCAATAACTACAAGAACAGTTTTTAAAAAATTTACGTTTTCTGCCTCTTTTAACATTTATTCTATGATTAGTTTTCTTTCATTATTTGCCAGCCACAAATGAACCTGGAGTGAACACACACACACACACACACACACACCCCCCCCCCCACACACACACACACACTCTATAGGTCTGTTTTACAGACAAATTTCTTATTTTTAAATTCAAATGACTCTAGCTGCATAGTTCTTGCAGTTCTTTAAATTCCAGTCTTAATTACCTATTTTCTAATTGAAATCTCTAAAAAATACTAAAACAAAAACAACAGAGAGAAAGGAAACTTTTTAATTTTTTTTAGGTGTTCCCAGGTTGATGTGTGGTAGGAAATAGCAGGGTATTCACACATTTTGCCCAAATTAGAAAAATGTGTTACATCCTCTGGTTTTTCAAAAAAAAAATGCAGACTTACTATCTTTAACTTTCAGGAAGAGAGAACTGGAGTGACAAATTCTATTTGGGAATAAAAGATCTCCATTATCACGTGCTTTTGGAAACTTGTCTGCCAGGTTTCAGTGGCGCATAGATGGAACTCTGCCTTCACTCTCCATGGTCCTGGCCTGGCAGCTTTCTCTTGGCTTTGGAGAATTGTGTAGTAGCTCTCCTTCTATTTCTCAGCCCTTTTCTTTTTGGATGGCACATCCACTGCTGTTCACTGTCTTATTTTATGTTTTCTTCAGTGTTCACTCTTATTTGCTTCCCTTTCCAGGCTTCGGAACTCATTTTAATGTCTCTGCCCTGACATCTCTCTTGGGTTCTGGGTCTATGTTTTCACATGTCTGATGATATTTCCATCTCAAATCCAACCTGGGCAACACTGAGCTCACATCTTTCCTACTCCATTCTTTGACACCTTTGCGCCAATGTTATACCATGTATTCAAGCCCCAGAGAGCTTTGCTAAGCTTTCTATGATTTATCTTGACTTGTGCTTGATTTTAAAAACTGATTAAAATAATAAAAAAGAATCATATTTTACTTTTTTTCCTGGGTAGGTTTGAGTTCAAGGATTTCTTTTGTTTTTTTTTTTTCAAAAATCTACTATCTGAAAATTTTTGTTTAATTGCTTTGAACTTTTATGAAAATTGCTAAGTACTTCAAAATATATGTGCAGGGTCCGGCACCTATTTTATTACAAAATCTTAAGCACATAATCCTGTAACATAACAATATCACACTCAAGCACACCACATGACAGTTTAGGTAAAATGTTCAAATTAAAACTATAAATTCTTCCACCCATATTATTATCCTACCAACCACGCTTTAGCCCCTGTACTTTCTAAATGCCTAAAAAGGTCATTTTTGAAATTATTTATTACATAGATAAAGAATCTGATGCAGATGGGAGTAAACTGGGTTTCCAGGCCTTTCGTTAGGCTATGCTTCTATTAACTACAGTGAGAAAAGTGGGCTTGTTAACTAATTACATATTTCACATCTCTCTAGGTATATTTACCTCCATCTCTTTATTCATAACATTTAACACTTTCAGACCTAGAACATTAACATTTGGAAACTACATACTTTATACTTGTAACAGTCCATGTTGAAAAGTCTGATCTTATGTTTATATAATTCAAGCGTGTTGATTTCATCCAGGGGCTGGAGCTTGTGTCCGCTGGTCTCTTCACACTTTGTTTTCTGTGGGTAGAGTTGCCGTCTCAGACCTATCATGTAGCCAGTCTCAAATAATTTGCCAAGTACAATTTTTGCAATAATCAA